TGCCGCCGCCGGGCCCCGCGGCCGGGAGATGCTGCTCGTGCTCGCGCTGTGGCTGGCGTGGCAGGACGCGGCGGCGGCGCCGACCCCCGCGGCCGAGGACATCACCCGTGGAGTTGTGAGTTACGGGCCCCCCCCCGAGCCCCGCCGACCCCCCGGCCGGGCGTCCCCGCAGATCCCACCCCGTGCCCGCAGACACCCCCGTCCCCGCAGACACCCCCGCGCGCGGCCGCCTGGGCTCCCGCTGCCTTCCCTGCGCTGCGGCCCCCCCGCTTCTTCCCCGTGCCCCCCTTTCCCCGCGGCGCGCCCCCGCCCGGCCCTGCGAGCCCCGAGCAGGCGCGCGGGGACGGGCGGTCCGGAGGCTCCRCACCGGGAGCACCCGGCCCCGCTGCCCTGCGCTGCTCCCACGCAAGCGCTTGTCCCCTCTGCGGGGGGATGGAAGCGATCCCGGGGGGTTTGGGGTGCTGTCTGCCCTGGATTGCGGTGCTGGCAGGGCTAGGGCAACCTCGCACCGTCCCCTCCAAGAGAGGGGAGGCAGAGGCTTTTCTCCTGCAGCAGGGGAAGTTTATGGAGACGGTAGATCAGAGGGGAAAACCGCCCGGCTGCGCCAAGCGCAGGCTTCCAGTGCAGGCAGGTGTCCGAGAGCCGGTGCGTGGCTGTGCCTTGGTCCTGGGGCTGCCAAGCCGCCTTGGAGCATCTCCGTGACCTGCTCTGGGCAGGCGGGCGCTTCCCCAGGGTGACAGGGAGCGCGGAGCGCGGGTGCCAGCGGGACTCAAGCCCCGGAGCAGAGAGGCTCCTTCACAAGCCCCTGTGCTCCGGCGAGGACAAACGATGCTTTTTGCAGGCTGGTTTAATAGAAAATGGGGAAAGTGAGGTGCCTCTGCTTTGTGGTTGTGCATTTGCTTTGCTCTGTAACCAAGCACTAGAATTAGTATTTAGTACAAACAGAACATGAATTTGTACATTCTGCCCCTATCAATTTAACTCAGGCTTAAATCTTTGACCTTCCTTTGCCGTTGCGGCTGTCTGTGTTGCGCGCAGCTYTTACAGGTTAAATGCTGATAGTCGAGGGGGCTCATTAGCTGTTGCCGGCAACTGTGGGTCATAATGTGGGTCGTTAAGGCACTGGGGTGTGGGCGGCTCAGGATGCTGCTGTAGAGCTGTGGGGTCCTCATAGGAAGAGTGGCAGCTCTGGAGAAGTTCAGTGCAGGTGACTGCAGGGAGAAGTTACGCTGGGACTAAACCTTGTTTATTCTGGGAAGGGTCAAGCAGGTGACCCTAAACGTGCATCTGGGTGATCTCTGCCTTGCCAGGGATGCTCCTGCTGGAGCACGTTGTCCCCTTGGTCTCCCCAGCTGCTGAATGAGGAATGGGGGTGATTATGAGGACACCTTGTGCTTATGCCCTGTAATGAGCAGCAGAGAGCAGAAAACATCAGGTATTTTTTGGAGGTATTTATCAGGGGGGAAAAAAAAAAGTGTGGGAAGCGAGCACTTTAAGGAGGATTGTTTGACATCCACTTTACGAAGCGACTAGGAAATTAAAGATGTGCAATGTCTTTCCACCAAATATTTGAAAAAAGGAAGGGAGCRTGAAACCATGGCAATAGAAAGCTCCACTAACCTTTGCAAATCGCATCCAGCAATTCTCTGCAGGAAATGCAGCACGGTCTCAACAYAGCTTTTCCATCCAGAGTGCCCCCCTCGCCGCCGAGAGGCTGCGCGGGGCTCTGCGTCCGCGCCACTTGCTCCAGCACCAGCTTTGTTTTAAATGAAACCGTGGTGCGAGGCCAAATTAAAGTTCAGCAAAACGGGAGAGGGCTATAATTCAAAGGCGATTCTTGTTAGAGTGCTGCCCAAAGCAATATAATATCGAATGATATTCCAGCTTTCATTACCCGTGGAATATCTTGCCCAGTTTATAAATCTAGCTTCATTATTAATGTTTTTATTATTCTCCATTAGCTGCTCCAACAAAGAGAGCAGATAAAATAGAGCAGATGGAATGAAGCTTGACTGGAGTGTTTTCCTTGAATTTTAGTGCATTGGTTTGAGATTTACTGCTTCCCATTTTGCACTGCTGCCTTTTCTACAATAAAACCCCCAAAGCACCGTGCCGAGATGCTGAAAGGCCGGTGTATGTATATCGCTCACATATCGCATCTTCTTATGGCTGTTTGACTTGAGAGTCCCAGAAGTCCCAGCAGCAAAAACTTTATATACGTTAGCAGTAACCAAGTAATGAGGATTCTCACTTCACCAGGTTTTGAACCGGATCCCGAGGGATATCTCCTTCAAGCCTTATTTTCCACAAGGGCCGGCTCAGTGGAATCTGTGCACTAAAGCTTTTGACTCAGAGACCTGCTGTTTTAGGAGYGAGCTCAGCGTTGAAGAAGCAGCTCTTGGCAGCAGGGTTATGTTATTCTCTGCTACGGATACGGCTGCTGTCTTGTGGGAAGTGCTGGGCATTGAGCAGCACTTTGGGCAGATCAATGTCCAAAGGTTCCTGTGGCTGGAGAAGCCCCTGCATCATGTGGGGGCCACCAGTTGGGATGGTTGTGATGCTGTGACCGAGAATAGCCCGTGTGGCCGGGGGACAAGCGACATGGGAGTGCCTGGAAAGTTTTAGTTGCATTGCAAGAGCGTTTGTACTGAAAACAAGAGCGTTCTTCTTGCTGAGAGCACGACGGGAGGTGCCGGGAACGTTTGCTCGGCTCTTCCCTCCAGTTCCCGGGGGCTTTGCAGCTGGGGGCTCGAGGCATTCCTGGTGCCTTGCGTGTTGCTCAAGACGCCTCTCGCTGCTCACAATGCCCRTCTCTGTTGTTGGCAGCCCGTAGCTCCGGGGGGACGTGGGTATTTGCATTCGTCGCCCGGGGCCTGGGCCGCAGCCCCCCTCGTTGCATGATCCCAAGCGGCTCTTTGTGTGCGGGCAGGAYCCTCGCCTTTGTAGCGGCCTCTCATTTGAATGAGGGATGCGCTGGTGGGGAGGGTGCTCCGCAGAGCCCTGCCAGATCACACAGAGGTTCCTCTGTCCCCACGGTGGGGAGCAGGGCAAGGAGCAGCAGCAGCTCCCTGCGCGCACGAGGGTTGAAGAGCCGGGGGCTGCTCAGGCACCGCTTCGTTCTTGGGGGATCCCACTAGTGCAGCCTCCTTTGTGCTYGAGCTGCGCTTAGATCAGCCCAGGGCTTTCCTCAATGGATGCGCTTGAGTGTCTGGGACAGGGCATGGTAYCTCTAAGGCCTGTCTTATTTTCTGATCCGAAGCCTGTGATGATTAGCCCTTTTAAAGTGAAATCCATGCATGGGTATAGGCTGGCTGATCTGGAGGAGCTAACAGGCTTGTAATCTTCCGTTGCTGCTAATGGGAAAATTAAAAAATCATAATCCCTGTTAGAGTTTCACTCAGCCTTCTAAAATGACAAGACATTCAGGACAAAATGCTTGACAGCTTCCCTAAACAACAGTACATTCAGGTCAAGTGTGAAGGCGAGAAGGGCTTTGCTTGGCCCCTCTGCCATGAAAACACTTCCTTCCCTGCTAATAAGGAGTCCTGGCCTTCCCAGCCTTGTGAATCCCCTCCAAGGCTGTTCAGCCACCATGCAAAAAAAATGCGCTGCTGGTTACGTTTTAAGATACCTCTTAAAGCCAAAGTACAATGCAAACCAAATTGGCTTGACAAGAGGGTGGCTGGAAGCTTTCAAACATGCAGGCTGCTGTGAAAACATTTAATCTGGTATTAAAGCCCTGGCTGGTGTGAACTGCTACTTCCCTTTCAGACTGGAGAGCCCCAGACCTCCAGATACAGTAGAGCAGTTTTGTCCTGTGCTTGGCTGCTTTGTAGGCCTAGCTGCTTGAGTTATGGGGGTAGTTAAGCTAAATTACCCACTTTAATGAGCCTCTGCCTTTAGTGATGGTTGTGAGCCTGTGTGGGAAACCCCATTCCCAGAGACTTTCCCATGTTTTAGGGGAAGGGATCCTGGTGGGAGTCGATGACGTGAGCCCCCTCCGCAGCTTTGCTCTGTATCATTGGAGCTGAGCTCCAGGTTTGAGGCACTTGGCAGGCAGAGCTAACGTCACCGGTGACCCTAAAGGCAGGTGGGATTTGCTGTAATGAAAATTGCTCTGCCTGCGTGCACCTCTCCCTGATTTAGACAGCCTCCTCACTCCCGCGGTGCTTGGTTGTTCTCCTCTGCTAAATTGCACTGGCCGGTGGCTGTGCTTAAGATGCCGCGTTGCTGTCCCCAGCCTTTGCCCAGACGTTGGTCCTGGTCTCAATATTTGCAGCATCTCTGCTGCAATGGCCCGGCTGCTCCAAGACCCGGCAGCGGGACTGGCTTTTGGTCCAGGTGGCTGCACCTCTGCCTGCCCAGCACAGGGGTCGGAGGACAGGGCTCGGAAACCAGGGGACTTCACGGACGCCTCCGACGCCCGGCGAGTTCATTAGTTCTAGCGAGCGCTTGCTGTGACTCATCGCTCTGACCGCTCACTAATTTCTAATTATTTACTCATTGGCAAAGCTGCTGCCGGAATGGATTGCACGGCTCAGGGAAAGGTCACGCTCTCGCTGAGGAAACCTTTATTCCTGCAGTGCCGCGAGAGTGGGCAGATACCCAGCTCCCATCTCGGGTTCCTAATTGGCTTCATGAAGGTGACAATGTGGGAGGGAAAAAAAGAGAGTTTCTCTTAAGCTGGGCCCATCTAGGTGCACACCGCTGCTTAACAATAAACCTGGGTCACCATGTTGTCACTCTTAAAAAAAAAAAAAAAANCCTATTTTAGAGCAGAGCTGAACTTGAAAGCCAAGGATTTACTTTCAAAATAACCCAAGATCTGACAGCAACAGTTCTTGAAATGCTTTCTTTAATCAAAATCGCTATAAATGGGTAGATTTGGGAGTTTCAGAAGCTCTTCCTGATGTGCGCGTGCATCTGTGTGTGTGTTCTTTGTCCCAGATTTTTATGAGGATTGTCTCTGATTTCTGGGTCAGAGAATTAAGAGATTTGATGTTATATTTAAAAAAAAAAAAAAACATATATGCAAAGTTAAATCCAGTGAAAAACAAAACAGACGTGCGGGGGCGAGGGGAAGAAACTGTGGAAGTTGAGCAGGACTGGGGAGTT